AAAAACTGATTATTTTTGAAAACTTTGCCACCCTGTATCTCAAAAGTTAAGGCGTTTAGGACATACGTCCATAGGACGTTTTTTCCTTAAAATGGGTCTAAGAATTACCTCCTTAAATATTAGCATGTGTTTAAGGAACACCCTGTATAAATTGTTGGTATTTAAGAAAGAGTTTCTTTTGAAGGGTTGTTGCCTCACTTTCTTGGGTTATTTTAATCAGTGAAGTGTATCAACTGAGTTTTCATGTCTGTCTCTTATCATTGTATTGGCGAGTTTTATTTGAGTTACATATTCATTTCAGTTGTCTCACTAGAGTTAGGGTCTAGTTGATATCATAATGGCTATTACTGAAAATAACCTCAAAATATTTCTTTCGACTCGGGCACAATTGGTCACCCTTAGATTTTTCATTCATTTTTTGTTTATTTGAAAACATCCAAATGTTTTGAGGTCGCCCCCACTTCGGAAGGCCGTTTGGCCCATTTTCGTGGATAATAACTTCGATTTCAAAATGAACTCTTTACAGAGATGTGTAGATCATGCAAAGAAGTAACTTTCAGACACATTAAACTGAAAGAAACAGCCCTCTCGAAATAAGATCTACACATCTTTGTAATGAGTTTATTCAGAAAGCAATTGCATTCTTTATTTCGTTGGAATATTCACACATATTTTTTTGTATAAAGATGTAAAAGTAGAGAGTCAAAATCTTTTTTACCCAAAAAATATTCCCTTATGATAATATACCCTCTTTTAATTTATACAACTTATTCAAGAATCTGAAAATCCTTACTTTTCCATCACTGTTGATTTTTGAATTCTGCTTATACGTAAAAAAATCGTAGTAACATCACACCGAACAACTCCAGATACGAATACAAAACACGCCAACAAGACCTTTTCCTATTCTTTTCAGTTGTACAAAAATTCATTATAATTCTACTAGAGCAATGGCTCCCCGGATTTACAATTCATTACCCGACGAAATAAAAAAGTGTGAAACACCATTGTTTTAAAAACAAATTGACGGATTTTTTAGTGAGAAAGTGTTTCTAATTCTGTAGAGAAATATTTACAAACTTAACATGTTATCTGCTCAATCCTTTCTTTGTTTTTCTAATGTAACTGTTCAGTCTCAAGTTATTTATGTGTTCAATTTTATTTTATTTTACTCGCCTGTAGGTATTTACGAATCCAATACAATTTTTAATTGTACCTTTTTTCGAAGAATGCAGTATATCATTGAAGACAATGGGTATCCGACTGATCAAACGATAATGTTTTTTTCTGTGAGTGCAGTAAGAAATGTACCTGGAAAGTATCAAGTTTAACCTCAAAATAATGTAGGTACCGTAAATCGCACCTCAATGTTTTTTCTGATTCAGACGTCCAAAAGTGATAATTATATGTTGGCATATTCACTCTTTTAAATATAGAGCTGTTCAAAAAATATGTAAGGTTTCTGAGAAGTTACCTCAGTTTCTATTACAGCGTGAATATACCTAACATGATATAATACTCTCTAATTTGGCACTGAACAAACTGATCGACAACGCCAGAAAAATTCAGTATGCTTTTGTTTTCTGTCGGGTATACGGTATTTTTCATTAATTCGATTACTATCACCACACGCTGATTTTTTTTCCCAAATCACAAGATGTAGAGATTCTCGTTATCTGAGAAGAAATGAATTTGAAAGACGTGCATGGTAATTGTGTTGTCTTCTAGAAATATTGTCAACCACTTCCATACATCCATAGTTTTATATTTTATTGCATTTCCATCTTTAGCGGCGGCATAACTGTTGAAGTAATTTAGTTATGAATCGAACATTTTTCAATCTTGTGGTGTTAAATAATTTATTTCATTAAAAAAAACATTCTTTCTAATTCAATTCACGAAAATAACAACTCCAGTGAGAAACTAATAAAAAGTGGGCAAAAGTTGATTTATAACGTTCATATAATTCTTCTTTATTTTCATACAAAGTTATGGGCCATATTTCCCCGCTGCCAAATAAATTACAGCGGGTATTCAGCTCAACTCTATTAAAGTTAGTTTCTGGGGTCACCAAAGCATGGCGCCGCAATCGTTTCAGAAATCGGGAGTCTAGTCTTTTCAGTTGCAATGGAAACCGAACATTTACAGATTTTTTGTTGATCTCATTACTGCTGTCTCGGAAATGTTGAGACTTACAAGGATGCCTGGATTAGACAAAAGTTTCCAGTTGAAGGACAATAAAAATCGTTTTTCAGATAGCGACTGTCAATGATCATTTTCGAGAAATTCGCAATATACTAAAATTGGCGGATTCTATTTGCTGGCTATACCGCTCCCAATTCAAATAATATGAAAATGAGACGAAGGGACTTTTTGCGATGTTTCTGGTTTGAACGAATTTTCAATGTCATTGGATATCTTCAGCAATTTTTTTTTCAGTACTGGCATCTAGTTATATATAATTTATATAATTTTTGACATTTCTTTGAGAGAAAACATAATCAGAGTCAGTTCGTTCGAAAGTAAAGACATTTATTCTTCGTATCGAACTCGAAGACATAGGTACATTAACTCCAAATATCTTTCGGAAATTTGCAAATAGATATGAATGCCAAGCCATGTCTTTGAGTTATCGGTACAGTATACAAATTCTGCTTGAAAACTAATTTTTATGGAGCATGATTGCTTATTTCTGCGCTTTTTCGCCAAATGAAAATATTGGAAAAAGGTTTTCATAGTAAGCCACTTCTGAAAGCAATACAAGCTCTTATTGAAATTCATCCACGTAATCAAACTCTTCATTTCGTGACAAAAATTTAAAATTGTTTGTTTTTTTTTTATTGCTGCGCCATATCTATTCCTCTAACATTTCAGATTCCTCATTCAATACATAATCTCTCAATAATAATCTCATCACAGATGAGATTCCCCAATCAAAATCAATTTACTGAAAATCGAAATATTTTCTACGAGTTAAAAATTACCAACTCTGGGGAAGTTCCAATGAACGAAAATTCCATACTAAAACTAAAGTTTAATTTCTTCGGCAGTTACCTCTTGCAAACTTTTCTCGAAGTTAGAATGAATTGCAGACACAAACTAGTCCAAAAGTTTTATTTAGTTTGAAAGTTCCGCTGCTCTTCCATTCTCTCAGATCATTTTGCTTGGAGACTAACTTTTAATCAGTTCTCTCATTTTCATTGTTCCAGACGTTTCACACTCCCAGTTTCGGTGATGAAGAGTTCGATATACCGGCTATCAATCCGAATCAACAGCAACAACAAGGACATTCGGAACAACAGCATTATCAACCTCCAATGCAGGTATGACTAATTTTAATTGTTGCCAAATTATAAAACAAATTTGTAATTATCCGAAGGTACTTCAAAAATGAAATACTCCAATAATGTCCTTGTTTGATGCGTTCTGTGCAGGAAATTTCGTAGACCTGTTACGAAAATAATTGTTTAATATCTCAAAGTCGCCAGACCTCCGTCATTTTATTAAAACACTGTTTTGTGAATAAATATTGTTTGTACACTTGCAAATTAAATTTCTATAAATGAAGTTTATTCAGTACGTCACAGTAAAATCGTAATTAGTCCGAGATATAATATCGGACTTAATCTTGATATTTTGTTTCAGGGAATGCAGCAAATGAATCAACAAATGAACCAACAACAAGATGCGATGGGAATGCACGACCCAACCGGGGGCTATCAGCAGCCCCTATATCTTTCCGGGCCTGACCACGGAATGGTGAATTCATCGTATCACAGCCCACAACCAAATTATTCGGCTCAACAGCAGCAGCAGCAGCAGCAGCAACAACAGCAGCAGCACAACAATCAGTTGCTGATGATTCAACAACAACAACAACATCAGCAGCATCAGCAGATGATGATGAGTCATGGTCAGCCTCCGCCCGGGGCTATAGGACCGTATGGTACTTCGCCCCAGCATCCCCAGGGAAGGGGAAATAGCCCTCCAGCCCCCGGACAAGAGCCCACCACTAGTGAAGATAGCGATGACAGTACACCTCATCCAGCCATGGTAAGCCATTGCACTTTATCTTCATGCTTTTCGGTAGCATCCACTACAAAACAAGAAATCCAATTATCATTATGATAGTAGGGTGAAAAACCAAGCTTCGACCACCTAATGCGAGATTGTTTTCTCTCTTCTTAACAGCTTCTACTATAAATATATAAAACTGAACTAGGAAAGCATCTAATCAAAGTTTGATTGTACCTGTTATACTTTAGAATTTTGTTTCATATTCTTTAATGAATGCATTGATATCAAACACTTCTAAATCTTGCTGATAGACGTATGTATAATAAGATGTTCATTTGATTTAATGAAATAAATGAAGTCGTTTGTTTTCAAAATGAAACAATGGAAAAGATGCAGCACGTTCAATCATCCAAATGACAATATATTCATTGAATACATGAAAGCCCACATATCCTTAGCACATGAAGATGTACAGATGAACCAGAAGTCTCCAAAGAACGAATATATACCACGAAACAATATGGAGAACAGCATGATCACCGATTAGACAACGCTGTAACCCCCCGAATAGAGCTGGCTAAATGCGCCGCACGGAAGCAATAGCCAAGAGAACCTAGAAAGAGAGAGACGAGTAAATAAATATATTCAGCAATACATTATCCTCACTCATAAACAACCAATGGCAAAAAATTTCGGAATCTAATGGAATCGACGGATTCTTCCTTACTTATTTGCTTTTATAAATTATTCAATTTCGAAAATAATCTACAATTTGAACTGGATTTGACCTTGATTTCATGAACTTTGGAAAACCCTGATTACAATCATAGTTAATCCTCAATAATAAAACAATCGACTATAGACATGATGAATCATCAGTAATAATACAAAAATTATCAACAATTACAGAAATAATTCGTGGCAAACACCATTTACTTTCAATTTTGACAACTTATAGGCCCTCTCTGTGAAAAATTGGAACTGAGAAACGTAACGATTCAACAACGCTCAACCGGCAACATTGCCGGTTAACGTTTACTGTTGTCATGAGTCATGACATTTTGTCGTTTATTGGATATTGGATCATGAAAAAAGAGAAGCGAGGAAGAGGGAAGGAAGTGTTTAGTGTTTGTTATGTTACTCTTTATTTGGTTTATTTAACTAGTTTGAAATAATTATAACTTGTTTTAATTTACAGAAACGACTGGATTTCAAGTATTACTTTCAATCAGCCACAGATATGTTTCAAAAGAACACATAAACATACAATTTTATTGAGTTTCATAGCTACAAATTTATTTCAAAGTAATAACAAATCTATTTTTAGTGAATTGTAATAATTCAGTGCAACGATCTCCTTCAATGATCACACAGTAATTTGTTATGTAGTGTATAACAACTGGAGGCCAAAAACGCAGAATAGCCGGTATTGTAAACACTTCTATATTTGAATTATCTCTGTTTAACCTCACTTCTGTGAAAACAAACTGTTGGTAATTGTAGTTAGATCTTTTTTATTTTTCATCTTATTTTTGCAGATTACGGCAATGAAGAGGCCGTCTCCAGAACCGGCCGATCAGACATTAACGAAGGCACAAAAGAAACCGAAAACACAAAAAAAGAAAAAGAAGAGGGATCCTAATGAACCACAAAAGTAAGATATCTTTTTACATGCTTTCATTTTGTTCATATGAGTGACACGGGGCTATTCTGGAGCTGGATACATAGAATTTGACTTATTTGTTCTGATGATCTTTAAAACTCCAGTCTGGCACCTTCTATCTTCTCAAGCCTTCTTAATTACCTATAATATACTTTGGCCAACAAGTCTTTAGTGTTATGTATATTTTTGTTGTAACCAAACTCGTCTTGAATAATAGACATTCTCAATTATTCTCATTGTAACACTGACAACGATTTGTAAAGTTGTGTCCCTAGTATAATCAGCAATATCCACAAGTACTTATTCTTTTTTTAATGATTATTGTTGAACCACTAACTATACTCAGAAACACTCTACAAATTGCTGTCAGTTGTACGCCAACCATTCACGATACCAAATGCAAATTGACTACAAAACAATTCCAGTCCAAATCTTTGTTTATGTTAAATTGGAGGGTTAGAAAGCAACTCACTTAACAATAAGTTGGCGGTTGGTGATATCCTTCATCCCTTGAAAGCACATACCCATCAAAATTCACGTCGAAATGAGTTTTACTGGAAGCTGAACTACTGTAAAATGTGCGGTTCAGTGCAAAGAAAGGATACAATGAATAATTTGTCTAAAGATAATGGACCGTGATAATTTCAATAACCAGTACATGGAAAAATATATGGATGAGAACTTGGTCAAATTATATTTCACTGGTATAAAGGTTGCCAGGACAAAAACAAGCTACAAGGTAGACAAACAAAACTATACAGTTTCTAGCTATGAATAAGAAATACCTTAACAGAGCTTCTTTCATGATACTGATGATGCTCATGATGAAGTTACATAACTTTGTAGATTTCAACATTTTGACAATATTGAACAAAATCTTTTTGTGATGATTAGACAATTTTTTTTATTGATTATTTTTATCATTTCCCTTTTCATCAAGTGTGGGAAAATAGTATTTGCTTCGATTTTGGTATCATAAATTGTACATCGTACCTGGAGTTCAGTTGACACCGAAATGGAATGAATTTTACATTTTCCTGAAAAATAGGAACTGGAATCTTCCCGTATTAGTTGTATTTGGCATATCACATCAATAAATTCTATTCATTCATTCAAAATATCATTTTTCAACATAAACAAAGAAACTAATAATATTAATATGTAGATTTGAGGCAATAAATTTAATTTTATTATAATGGTAATTTCATTATATGTGTCTCTGGACTTTCTCTTATTCTCTCAATAATATATGGATGGCGTCAAAATATCACCAGTACTCCATATAACTTTTGTTCCTAAAATCCTTTGGTGAGTGACTAAACAAATGAATTGCTTTGATGATGCAGGAGTCAGTTGTTTTGCTACAACACCCCAAAACTTTGAAATGGCAGAACATTTTTCAACAAAATCAGGTTACAATTTTCTGAATAAAAGTTCTTGTATGGAAAATCGATCAGAGCAACAATTTTTGATAACAATGCACTTTTGTTCGACGACATCCAACCTGAGATGTCTATCATTACTCGAAAAGGTTAATTTTGAAAGAAAATAGAAATGATAGGTAAACTGTTCATAACAAATTTTTATAATGCAAATACGTTAACTTCACAAATCTCATGGGATAAATATCAATTGCAAGCCTCAAGAGCAAACAGAAATGGAAAATCCGCTACAAAAACTGCTCGATATGACCCGCTTCCCTGTCAATACATTTTCGTAGTCTGCTAAGACGCCCTCTCTGTACTTGAAATATCATCCCAGAGTCGTTTCGTATGGCTTCACTATGTAATGTCATTCTATTCAACAAGGCATCTCTTGTGTGAATAGGTGTAGCGTAAACAAGGCTTTTTAGGTGCCCCCACAGAAAGAAATCCAATGGATTTCAATCCGGGGATCGCGGTGGCCATGCATATGTCCCACCTCTACCAATTCATCTATTGTGGAAAGAATGGTTCAGATGGTCCCGCACAATGAAACTAAAATGATGAGGAGCGTCATCATGCATAAACCACATATCTCTTCGGGTTTGCAATGGAACATGTTCCAAAAGTTCATGCAAATCATTCTGAAGGAACTCCAACTAATATTCGCCATTCAATCGGTCATGTAGATGGTTTCATATGATACCAGACCAAACATTCACTTTGAATTTCCTTTGGTGTTTGGTTTGCAATATCTCATGGAGATTTTCTTCGGCCCATATGAGATTATGAGAGTTGGTAACTCCATCTCTACTGAAACCTGCTTCATCGAATAAAACTCAATGAATAGAAGTCATATCCTCTTTGCTCACCGGATATTTTTCACCTATTCATGTGCCGCCGTTTTTGTAGTTTATTCGTCTGATCTTTATAAGAATTGTAGGTAAATGTGCCTTTTTTCATATAAATTTATCGGGTTAAAGATTGTCTCCCATCAAATTGAATCATCAGTGAAAATCCTCAACATTTCAGCTGTGAATGAGAATTTGAAGCATTCAAGTGTTGAGTTTCATGAGATTCAGATCACACAACACGAAATGTGGTTATTCCACACGTACATACAAAATATTGACTGAATTCAATATTCGCATATCTTGTTAGTTCAAAAACACCACGAATCTACAGAACTTGATATTTTATTTGTATTATCCCTGTTATGTTGTTGCATTAACGATATCATTATTATTTCTGCTGTCAAAATTTTTCATTTCAAATAATGGTAGACATCTCAGGTTGGATGTCGTCAAACAAAAGTGCATTTTTATCAAAAATCGTTGCTCAGATCGATTTTCCACACGAGTACTTTTATTCAGAAAATTGTCTAAGTAACCTAATTTTGTGGAAAAATATTGAAAAATATCTGTCATTCCAAAGTTTTGGGATGTGGGCCATCGGGGGTTAGGTTAGGTTAGGTCCAAAGTGAATGGGTCTATTCAACCCTCCACCGCAACCCGCAAGGGTTTATTGTGGCTCACATCTACTTACACTCGATCAAATAAACCCAGCTTCTTAACGAAGCCGATTCGTTTGTATGGTGAGTGGTTTTTCAGGTAAGATGGTAAGAGTACGGCTCTGCCGAACTCTGAAAATCTGATTCGGTCCCCATCGGGGCAGGCACAAAGTATGTGCTCTGTTGTTTCATCATTTTCCAAACAGAGGCGACACACACTGTCTTCTGACAGTCCGAGTCTCTAAATATGATTCAAATGACAGTGACCTGTAAGAAGGCCTGTTAGACATCGTAGTTCATCCCTACTATATGTAGTTCAACAACTATTTAGTATCAAGCAAACTTTTTCAGTGCTTGTGAAAAAAATTGTTATACAAATTTTATGAACCCCCTTTAAGGGGCTGTATCTTAACAAGGGATGCTCCAATGAAGTTTCTTTATATGGAAGATCCTATTTTTTTTTCGATGAGGAGTCACCTCCTTAAATGTTTTACACTTATTCAGTTACACCCTGTATAATTCAGTTATTAGAAATAATGAGAAAAATTTCTGTACAGTTTTTATGTTTTTTATTGATCATCGAACATATGTTTTTATTTCACGGTTATTTTTCTCAATCCTTAAAACTATAACTCATTTTTTATTTTATTTTTCAATTTATGTTTGAACTTTGCCTATTTAACATTTCAAGAGTGTTATTAGGAAAGTATTTTCTTTGTGTTAAAAATGAACCAGACACCATGTATTTCTAAAATCTGATTTTATTTTAGGCCAGTATCGGCGTATGCACTATTCTTATGATTGTGCTTGTGAATGTGTAAAAATGCAGAGACAACTTTGCAAAGTCGATTCAAAGTGTTTTTCTTACGTTGGGGGTTTTACGTGCTCGGAAAACTCGTCTACAGAAAAATTATGTAGATGAAGGCTACTTCTCCTCGTAGAATGGCAGTATAAATGCAAAAAAACTAGCACAATAGAAACATCCTGAAGTATCATCAGTGTTGAAGCTAGTTCCACTTATGGACAGTGATCCATTGCCAATTTGTCCAGGTGCAAGTGCAAAAAATGCCTGAAGAACTTCGTCATCATCACTGGCGAGCAATGAAAGCAATTTCCTTATGGAAGAAAAGCATTTAATGTCGCAAAGTGTTGCATGAATGGAAACATCCTGACTCTAAAACTCAAGTCACTATATTCAGAAATAAGAGTTATGTGATTGTATTGTTCTTCAAAAATGAAAATGACATTTGTTTCTGCAATGACATCAAAGGTTCGTTTGATTTGATGAATAACACCATATGATCGAAATGAATGGTGTTTGTTCAATGGTCAAGATCAAATACAATGAGCATCCATGGAATTTTTTTTGACTATTTAAAGGTTGAGAAATTGTAATCAATTTCGAAATATCAATTTGTTTACATATTCATAACAGTTTATTAGTCTATTGCTTGAGATGCAATCTGGATTCACAAAATTTTGCTGTTTTTTTTTGTGTCTGTGGGACAGCTGTACTATTGATCATCATAATGTTAGAAAGGTGTTGCCGAGTAGTATCCATTTTAAGTTGGGACAACAAAAAGTGTCCCCTGTATCACTTGTGAAACCACAGGACGTTTTATTACCACCTCTTCACATTGAACTTGGCCTCGTTGAAAACTTTGAAAAAACACTCAATTGCGAAGTATGGGCTTTCCAGTACTCAACCAAACTGTTTCCAAAGAAGGAATATTTGAAGGACCTGATGTGTCTCAACGCCTGATGAAGCAGCATGTGCATTGTTTCAAAGTGTTGTTCACAACTTTCGTGATAAACACAAATCACTGGATTGCAGGCAAGTAATCAACAATTTCTTGCAAAATAACCACAAGGTTGGAGCTTGAATGTCTCTCAAGAAACACTTTCTTCATTCACATCTTGTTTTTTTCCCACGAAACTTGAGCAACACAAGCCAGGAGACCTGCTGCAGGAAGATATAGCAAAAATCGAAAGGAGATACCAAGGATTTTTGGATAAAGGCATGATGAGCAATTACCCTATTGTGTGAAACAGAATCCATGCAGTATAAAAGACTCAGTTCAGCCTCTGTTCATTTTTGATTTATACTTTTTGAGTCAATAAATGGCCATTATTAGTCAAAAATAGTACCATTATGAAATTTATTGAATGTTTCAAAAACTAGAACCAATTTCTAAAAACGGGCTGTCGATTTGAATTTAGCCCCAATTTACATAAACAGCTTTTGATTGATTAGGTCCAAAACTGCGTAAACTTGTGAAATTATGATTTTCAATGTCATCTTAAGTAAATTAGAATACTGTTGTTTTATTACATTATCTTTCGAATAGTTAATACCAACAGAAATACTATGTATTACATAACATAAAATATTATTACTGCAGAACATATTGATATCACTTTCTGAGTCTCTAAATTTTCTGAAAGCACAACTGTGTATAAGTGAAACTGAGTTGAAGAGCTATTTTGTTCATTTGATGAATATCTTATACTATTCATATTTCTGTTGAAAATGCCAAGGCTGAAACAATTTAATCAAGTGATTCAACAGATGTAACTAGCAATGTGGCAAATTCTTTGTATATATCTTGTCTTTCTCAATTTTAATTTTTCTTCCAGAGGTATTTTTCACAAAACTGCTAACCTATCTAAAAATGTTTGGTCTGAATATGCATTCATCTACGTGATCTTCCAACTGCTAGTTTTGGCTGAAGATTGAATAAATGAATGCACCCATAATTTACAGAACTTAAAATTCAGTTATCAGTTCATATCTATTCATTGATATGCTATTTTTTCATCAGTTGTAAAATCCCTAATGTTACTTTAATTTCATCATAAATGCAATCACCTTATTAGAAGTATCCATCCATTGGTTCATTAAAATCCAACGATTTGTATCACCAGAAAGTTGACTCGAAAGACTTACCCAATGATAGTTAGATAAACTCAAATTTTTTCCTTTCTACTGATTATATTTATTGAATGTAATCCTCTACAGAATTTTCTATGGAATTTGTAAATGTATTGATTTTTAATAACTTTCAGATACCTTTATATAGATAGGTTTTCTGTAAAAATAAAAACTACATTTGTGTAGCAGGTCAGCTTCGAGATTTCAGGATAAAGTTGTGCCATTTCAGCAAGTTGGCTAGTCACATTAATATTACCATCCATTGTTAAACGAATCCAAGTTGAAGCATTTTCAACAGTGATACCACGCCAGAATTTTGATTCACACCTCCTTTAATATAGGTTTATAAGAAAAAAACTGAGGCAGCTAAAAAAGAATACTTGAAAGCTCTCGCAGCATACAGGGCCAGCCTAGTATCGAAAGGTGCTGGTGAAGGAGAAGGAATTTATGGTAATTACGGAAGCTATCAGGCTGGTGCTCCCCAATACTCTGCTTATCAACCACAAGGTAATATCCCATCACCTCCAATGTCCTCAGCGCCAACTCCGCCCTCACAATCACCCATTGGAAAGAAGCCACCCATGGGCTTGGGTAACATGAATTCCTCCCCGCAACAGCAACATCAGAATATGATGCAATCCAATATGGGACCAGTGCCAAATCACATGAACATGCAACACCTGCAACAGCAGCAACAACAGCAGCAGCAGCAGCAGCAGCATAATAGTTACATGCAGCAGGTGAGATGGAATTTTTACTTAAAACTTGTATAAAACAAAATATGCACAAAACCGGACACAGAAAAATAACTAGTAATCATTGGCTTGAGAAATATTTCTTGGAATTTAAATTGTCAACAAATCATTGTATTCAGGAATTGAACTGTAGGCCCCTAGTGACTGAGTACTTGGAACATATATCTTATAAACATTTTTTTTTAGAGAATAAAGTTTTAAGCAAACCTGAATATTCATTTTTATGAGATATAGTTTTCCATTCATGAATAAAGAATGAAAAACTATTTCTATAAAAGAAATAAATAAAAAGTTGGACTAAAACATAAGGGCTAAAACATAAGGACTATGAAACATATAGTTCTGTCCAGTAATATCAGGGATTCAATTGTAAGTTTTCCGTGAATAGTAATTCGAGATAAGTTAGCTTGATATTTATAATTTTATGTAAAAACCGTGCTTTTATCAAACAATCATTGAAGTAACACTGAGATTCAGATCTTCCTGTTTGCAATCACATGAGACACAGGATTTGAAATCTATATAGTTTTCAGGTATTGAACATATTTATAGTATAATAGTGAAATCTGTTTTATGTATCACCAAAGTATCACAGTTAACAAAAGAGTTGAGATGTGAATGGAAATTGAGTGTAATGTCAGAAATTGCACCTGGGTCTGTAATGGGGTGAATAAGTGAGTTCAGAAATCACAGTTCCATCAGAACTGTAACGTGTCAGAAGCCATCTGATTTCAACTAGATACATTTTTACTTGTGATGCACTGTTTGGAACCTTTGGTGTAGTAATAAATATTACTGGAGTTTAATCCCAACACCAAACCGTTATTTTTAATACATCGACACATGTTTCAGTCACCAAGAGATCATCTTCAAGAAAAAGATTAAACTAAATTACATTTAGTATTATCCTTATTTATACCCTAGATACCTCTGCTAGGTACTTGCGTCTTAATTGTCTTGAATTAATTTTACATGTTGCCTTATCTACTAGTCTTAAATTAATTTCACAATATTGACTTATCTGAAAGTCAGGTATATCTGATAATAAAATAAATATTGAAATAATATTTCATTATCAGATTTACCTGACTCTTAGATATGGCAATATTGTAAAATGAATTCAAGACAATTAAGACACAGGTACCTAGCAGAGATATCTAGGGTATAAATAAGGACAATATTGTATGTAACTAATTTAGTTTAATCTTCCTCTTGAAGATGACCACTTGGTGATTGAAACACGTATCGAGGTGTTACAATAACGATTTGGTGTTGGGAATAATCTCTAGTAGTAGGTTACAAACACAAGTATATACTTGAAGTGATCTTCACAAAAATATAAAATTATTATCAGATTTACCTGACTGTTAGATATGGCAATATTGTAAAATGAATTCAAGACAATTAAGACTCAGCTACCTAGCAGATATATCTAGGGTATAAATAAGGACAATATTGTATCTACCTAATTTAATTTAATCTTCCTCTTGAAGATGACCACTTGGTGATTGAAACATGTATCGAGGTGTTACAAATAATCGTTTGGTGTTGAGATTAAACTCCACTAATATTCATTTATATAAATTTTTCTGTGGAAAATACTTGATTATTGGCAGATTTGAACCCAGGAAATTCACCTATGTCTAAGCAGACTTGTATAATAGATATGGTAGTTGAGTATTACTGGTGATTTACATGATAAATTTGCCTTGTGTACATTTATTGCTTTTCAAGTTACTGTCATTGAAATAGAACTAATTTGTAGTTTTATCGATTTTTTGTATAAACCTAGATCATTTTACAATATTATTCATAAATATTTCCACCCCGGTGACCCAAATGGGTTATCTGGGGTATCACCAATTTTCATAGATCACTTTGTTAATTTGTCCAATTTACTTTTTTTGACCATCATTTTTAATCTAGTGTAGAAACATTCAATAATGTGACAATGTTAAGAAACTGTGTCAAAGTTAATTACAGGTTAATTTATAGGTCAACCTGAGTGCAGGTTTTTATGTCTGCAGTGAGGGCTGTAGGAACATCTGTTGCTTCATTGCCTTCGATAATTATTACCGCAGTTGTAGACAAAACGTCAATCATTAAACATGCATACCATGGCCAACAAACCCGTAACCTAGTTGTCCCCAGCTGTGAAAGTTTACACTCTTTGACCATTTAAAAAAAAATTATTTAATAGAATTGCGTCACTCTGTATGTTTCAAAGATATAATCTAGAAGCCACAAGTGGCAGTTTAAAATTGTTTTTGAAGTAGACATGTGTCACCTTTATAATATTTTTGTTGATGATCAATTTGAATCGACAAGAGATGAAAAAAAGGCGAAAAAATGTGAGAAGAAAATCAAAGGCAATGATTTTTTTATCAGATTGAAGGAATAGCACATATCCAAAATCCAGGTCAAAATACTTGGACAAATTTTCAATGCACAAAGAATGTTTTTTTTTTCTGGAGAAGGGAACATTGGTGTTAAAAAGTTGTAAAGTTTCCTTGCGAAGGAACAGTTGTTTAATATCTCATAAACAAGCATTTAGTGATATACCACTTTTAATAAGTCACATGGAAATGTCAAATACTTTTTGTTTGTTTTATTATGTGACAAATATTTTTATTCGACCCAGTTTAGTTCTCTTAAACCAAACTTAGTTTACTTTTGCAGGTCCCTCAGCAACAGCATGTTCCGATGTCTCCACAACAACAACAGCACGTCCCAGTATCACCTCACATGCAGCAACATATGAGTCCACCACCCATGGTTTCCAGTTCCCCCCCCGCTTCTGCTCCCCCAGCAACCATCCCAACATCAGGGCCTCCACAGAATGTAGGTCAGGGTCAGATGAGGCCCCAGAACGCATGTATACGTCACGGTTGCCCCAATCCAGCCATCACTAATCCGGAATGGGAAGACGAATATTGCAGTAACGAATGTGTCGTCAGCCATTGTCGGTAAGTGTGTATTCAAGAAATTAAATTCATTCATTGATTTATTCATTCATTTTGTTGTTTCTTATTATATCTTGACAAGTTACCTCATCTTTATGAGTAGAAGCACAAATGAATATCTATGTATCTATCAGACGTAACATTTTGCGAAATATCCAAAATGGACCCTTATAAACTAGTACAGGGAACAAGTTTGTTGAAATAGATGGCATGGAAAGGTGATAGTAGAAATGCAATAAGCTTATTGGATGCAGTGTTTTCCAAAAACTTGGAAAAACTGGACGAGTTAAATGGCTCCCAAGTAGCAAATCAAAATAAAAATAGATCTCTATCAGCTATTCACAATCATTTATATAGGAAACTGCCAAGAAAGGAAATATCAGTGCAAAACTCTTCGCGAAAATAAGCTAATCATGGTGTATAAGAGCATCGACTTTCACGGACAGAATCACAATTACAGGGAACAAAATGGTCCAATGGAACCTGAACTACCAAAAAATGTTTTGTCTGCGACAGACATCATCAGTAGTATGAGCGTTGACTCAAGTCTCACCAACGACTGATTGGTAAACTACCTGTTTACTCGTATTTATAATTTCAGAGGGTGGTTAGGGTGATGGTAGGGACAGCGGCAGAGCCAGAGGTGGGGATGATGTTTGGGATCACATGAGAATTTTCATCACAATTTTAATACAGATGATTATTTTTCTTTTTAGCTCCAATGATCATTGAATCAAATGAGGTTGGANCAAAACTCTTTGCGAAAATAAGCTAATCGTGGTGTATAAGAGCATCATTTCACGGACAGAATCACAATTAAAGGGAACAAAATGGTCCAATGGAACCTGAAGTACCAAAAAATGTTTTGTCTGCTACTGCGACAGACATCATCAGTAGTATGAGCGTTGACTCAAGTCTCACCAACGACTGATTGGCAAACTACCTGTTTACTCGTATTTATAATTTCAGAGGGTGGTGAGGGTGATGGTAGGGATAGCAGCAGAACCAGAGGAGGGGATGATGTCTGGGATCACATGAGGATTTTCATCACAATTTTAATACAGATGATTATTTTTCTTTTTAGCTCCAATGATCATTGAATCAAATGAGGTTGGATTTTTGACTATGGCCAATAGTCAATAGTAGTTTGCGCTATATCAAAAACCTAAATCTAAAACAATTTCAGAACATTAGACTATACTTAGCCGGTCTTTACAAGGTATAGATCCTATTGACATATTCCAAGCCAATTTCTGCATTCTTTCAAAACTATTCTCGATATCAATCTATAAATTTATATGATTTCTGGAAATTTCAAATGATTCTCATCATTAATTCATTCTTTTTTTTTTCAGAGATGTATTCACAAACTGGGTGTCTGTCAATAAAAGCCAATCACAGAACTTTTCAACAGTTAAATAAATTTAGTACTAGGGAGAGTTGCCACAAGGCAGGGAATGAGAGTAAGTAGCAATACCACCATCAAACAGATCTACGTTTGCAATGAAGTATCAAATAGAACGGTTACGATAATATGTAATAGTGAGAGGATAGATTAAGAATTGTAAATAAAATGATAATCATTTTAGTGTGAGGTTGTATTGAAGCAATAGAAGCAATACGATTTCATTATTATAGGTATACAATACTGATTAATATTGTAATCCTAGCATTATACGTTGTATAATCAGTATAAGGGGGGCAAAAAAGTATAAGAATAGTTTTTGTTGAACATTTTTTTCATTATTCCTTATGACGTTACAGTTTGAAATTTACTATCTTATTATATTAAGTCTCGTTTGTATTTCTGGAATTATCAAGTATTGCTCATTTTTTTTAATAATTCTTGCTATTTTACCTTTCGAGCCCATTATATACAATTATGAGCTTGTGCAGCTTTCGAAGATAAAAACCAAACTTTTTTGTTGAAAATTCTTACTCTGAATGTTTCATATTACAGTGAACTGAACTGAGCTGTTTTCAAATATCAAAATTTACTCTTCAACTATTTTTGTTTCTAGAAAAATTTAACTGGCCGCTCCTTTGGGATTTGCGAACTTTTGCATTGTGCTATTGTTTGATAAGTTTTTTTTGTTATTGCCTTATTTCCACTAAAGTTAAGATGGGAATGAAATTCGTTTGATCATTTTCACATGAGCATATAACGTCAATTCTAATAACAATCCGGATTCTAATATCCACATTTTGATTAGAGGCTCCAGTCAAGGGAAAAAAACATAGCTCAAACTAAGCCTAGATTTGACACATAAGCTTTCGCTTAATTTTTTTATAAAACCACAAGTTTTGATAACGAAAGCTATTTAACGGATTTTTTTTAAAACAGATTGAACTTCAAAAATACTAAATATCATACACTATATTCAAGTTAAGGACACCAGCATGGGAAAATTTGTGTGATATATCAGTGAAGTTAAAAAAGCNCTTTTTCAGTGCTTGTGAAAAAAATTGTTATACAAATTTTATGAACCCCCTTTAAGGGGCTGTATCTTAACAAGGGATGCTCCAATGAAGTTTCTTTATATGGAAGATCCTATTTTTTTTTCGATGAGGAGTCACCTCCTTAAATGTTTTACACTTATTCAGTTACACCCTGTATAATTCAGTTATTAGAAATAATGAGAAAAATTTCTGTACAGTTTTTATGTTTTTTATTGATCATCGAACATATGTTTTTATTTCACGGTTATTTTTCTCAATCCTTAAAACTATAACTCATTTTTTATTTTATTTTTCAATTTATGTTTGAACTTTGCCTATTTAACATTTCAAGAGTGTTATTAGGAAAGTATTTTCTTTGTGTTAAAAATGAACCAGACACCATGTATTTCTAAAATCTGATTTTATTTTAGGCCAGTATCGGCGTATGCACTATTCTTCAGGGATACTCAAGCAGCCATCAAAGGACAAAATCCAAATGCAAGTTTTGGAGAGGTTTCCAAAATTGTTGCATCAATGTGGGATGCTCTAGATTCTGAACACAAGAATGTACGTTTTATTTGAACAGTTTCTAAATTCCAATGAACAAAATATTTTCCTTAGCTGCAATTTTCTCTTTTTTCTTTTATACCTCTGATATCACCTTGCAGGACTTTCAAAATTGAAATTGATATAATAAGCAATAATTTTCTGATTATTATATTGTGAAAATTTTCCAGATTAGTGAGACATAAGATCAGTTCATTTTTCATAAGTTTTACCAATTGGTAAGTATTTCCAGAGTTTTTTTTATAGAGAACAATAGTTTAGATAAACTTTATTTTAGTTGATATTTTCGAATGGGTTGTTCTAATTCTATATTTGTGATGTGTAACTTTTATATTCAATAACCACAAAGTTGATCACTGGCCAAAAATTACAAATTTACAAATTCATGTCAACTTTTGGACCCGAGCAGATGAGAACGATTCTTAATGCTATGTGATGTCCTGAATTCAGATCTTCAATCCATTTGTCAAGATTGACTTGGGTCTATAACGGCTGCCAGCTGACGCCGTTGCATCAAACGTCATTTGGAACTTGTTTTTGTGCCTTGATTGTGCTTGTGAATGTGTAAAAATGCAGAGACAACTTTGCAAAGTCGATTCAAAGTGTTTTTCTTACGTTGGGGGTTTTACGTGCTCGGAAAAATATTAAGTCTCGTTTGTATTTCTGGAATTATCAAGTATTGCTCATTTTTTTAATAATTCATGCTATTTTACCTTTCGAGTCCATTATATACAATTATGAGCTTGTGCAGCTTTCGAAGATAAAAACCAAACTTTTTTGTTGAAAATTCTTACTCTGAATGTTTCATATTACAGTGAACTGAACTGAGCTGTTTTCAAATATCAAAATTTACTCTTCAACTATTTTTGTTTCTAGAAAAATTTAACTGGCCGCTCCTTTGGGATTTGCGAACTTTTGCATTGTGCTATTGTTTGATAAGTTTTTTTTGTTATTGCCTTATTTCCACTAAAGTTAAGATGGGAATGAAATTCGTTTGATCATTTTCACATGAGCATATAACGTCAATTCTAATAACAATCCGGATTCTAATATCCACATTTTGATTAGAGGCTCCAGTCAAGGGAAAAAAACATAGCTCAAACTAAGCCTAGATTTGACACATAAGCTTTCGCTTAATTTTTTTATAAAACCACAAGTTTTGATAACGAAAGCTATTTAACGGATTTTTTTTAAAACAGATTGAACTTCAAAAATACTAAATATCATACACTATATTCAAGTTAAGGACACCAGCATGGGAAAATTTGTGTGATATATCAGTGAAGTTAAAAAAGCAAACTCATTTCGGGTTATTCTTTCTACTAGTTTATATAAAAAAATAAAGTGGTGATGGTTCCTTGGAGGTGAAACGTTAAAGAGAAAATTTGCAAACTCCATCTTGTATAGCTTAAAAAGTGGAAATGAGAAAGTGATTCCAAATATCTTCTCATATAACGTTGAGAAAATTGATATCACAATGAACAACTTTCCTGATTTAACTGATTTTCCAATGCCGACCATACTTATCTTTGACACACAGTATAAACATAAACTCTGATTGGTTTATGATGTTGTTTTTGACACAGTGCAATGTAAAATAAAATAAAAGTCCCTCAGATTTACTATTTTCATTAAATTTTGGATGAAGTTTTGTTTCAATATAACCGTCAAATATTCACTCAATCCTTTGAATTTGTAGCGTAATAATTCATTTGCCATAAATAGTGATTTGGAGACTAATATCATGAGGTATTCTAAGCGTACTGGTCTTCAAAGATGTTCTGAAAATATCATAACAGTGTCATTTATTCTTTATAGATTTTTTTTTCATACAAATGTTGGTTTTCAAATACTTACTGTTCACTATTTGTTGCACATTCTTTAATGCCCCCCTTATAACAAAATTGAATTTGTTAAACCATGCTCTGTAAATGCATGTAATCCTTCATGAAAATTTGTAGTTAGTAATGTCCAGAGTACATATAATATTAAAAAAAAACTTTAGTTCATGTAGTTAGGTATCTGTTATAAGGAAAAATTCCAGAACTGTGAATATTTTGATGAATGAGGAACAACTGATGATTCTATGTGTTCTATGTGTTAGATATTGAATTCTTTATGGTTCTCTCCTCTGAATCTATGAAACAAAAAATATCTGAAAAGTACAGTTGTTATTTATTCAAATATTCTGCCTAATATAATTTCTAAATTCATTTGAATTGATGTTTGCAAACGAGTTTTCTGATTTGTCTACAGAATGTCCAAGTAAAATTCAATACTACAGTTTCCAGCTTAATCAAATTAATTGATTTGATAAGTAGATTGAAAGGGGTATATTTTTGGGAAGGAAAGGTTTCGACTTTCTACGTCTCCATCTTGATACAAAAAATGTCGGAATTTTCCAAAGAATTTGGAACCTCTGGAATGAAATGAATTTATTGAAAATAATTTTTCCATTTCAAAACAAAATTTCTGCCTTTCGACGCTTGATTTAAAGTTAGTTATCTCCTGATGATGCTAAGTTGGACAGCATTTTTGTTCTGGTGGAAAAGCGAAATTTCAAAAACTCATGTTTCACAGGTAAATTTTCGTTTTGAAATCAATGGGCAACTGAATTCTAAAAAGAAAAGTCAATAGGGCACAGGGTTGAAATTTTGATAGAAGCAGCTCCAATGTATACATATTGTGAATACTCATTGGTAACCTTCGGTCCCTTATAGGATTTATCTTTACCACATACCACTAAAAACCGGCTAACTGAGATTGTCACAATGACTTGAATTGTTTACAAGAGAAGAAACTCGCTAGGTGGAGATGAAAACTGACATATTTGAAATAATGAATTAAACATACAAAATCCTTGTCAATATACAAGTTTCCTCGAATCTTAAGTGAAACATATAAAGCAATTTTCTTCAATAGAAAGATTCAGATGAATTGAATTGTGTCATCAATAACAATCTGGATGGATTAAATATGAGTAATTATGCAGCAGACAATTTAAACCATTGTCATTATGATCTCTAAGCATTGTATCACAGTGGGACACCTATTAATTATCAGCATGTGGCACAAATGAAACGATTCACAAGTGTCACCAATTTCAACAAAATCCTTGCTTATCGAAGAGGTATATATGTTCACTTCTATAAACAGAAGATAATTAAACCGTACATAACTAATCCGGCTTCTTCGAAATGACCTACAATAGATTCATGAAAAAGGATGTTCCAGACACTAAATCTCAATCATAGGACTGAGAAAATTGATAATTGTTTTTTAGACACAAGATGTTGTTTAGACACAAAACTACTGTATACCCAAGAGAAATAAATACAAGTCATTCTAACATGATGGGCTTTTTTGATTGAAACATTTGCTGAATTGATGAAATAAATTATGTTAGATTTGTAATAGTGCTGGATATAGTTAAAATAAAACTCCATACCAATATTGCCATCTCAATTTGTGAATGGCTAAAATGTATGTAAAATTAAGTGACATGTGATGCAATTGGTGGATATTTGTTGTGAATTAATGATAATGTATTTGAGTAACACGTGAGATTTTCACTAAATAATTTACCTCAACAAGCTTCACTTTACATTAGCTTCTTGAGGCGTGTTCAATACTAACTGTTGGGAATAGAAATTATTCTTCATTTTTACCATGCACTTTTTGGTGTCTAACCAGAGTCAGCAGAATGATATAATTTACAAAAGAAATGTCAAGAGGAACATTGAGAACAATAACATTTTTGACAATATTTTGACAAATAATCTTTCATTTTGAGTCCATTACTTTATTTGAAAAATATATGACATGTTTCGCTAGCGCAGTAGCTTTTTCAAGTGATTTATATACATTATCTACATTTATATACATGAATCACTTGAAAAAGCTACTGTGCTAGGGAAACGTGATATATTTTTCAAATAAAGTTTGTGGAGATCAAATCGTGAGGTGTAGTTTTTGAAATTTACTAAGAATCTTCATCAAGTAACGGCCGAATCAATGAGAAAAAAAAACATTTTGATTGAGATGGAATGAAATTCTATTTGCTTTAAATGAAGCTTTTCTTTCTTTGATTATTGGCATTTGAAAACTGTTTCTCAAAGAGTTGGGCTCTTATTTCTGAACTATCCATCTTTTCTCTCCAGCTTAGCTTATCCATTGAAAAGATCAAAAGTTTAAAGGGAAAAACTTTCCTTGGACATTCTTATATCAAAGATATTTATGAAAAGAAATAAACTGATTCTCATTTTTATGCCTACACTGATAAAAACAATTAAGGAAACAAGAAATTCTTTGACAAATCTCTGTTGAATTTCTCTCAGCATAATTTTGTTTCACAGATTCAGTTGTAGTATGTGGCGTACAATTATTTTTATATCATTGACCAATCAAAGTGACGCTTTCTGTCGATGTATATAAATTAGCAGTTGTTACTTTATTGTTATCGATGTGAGCAATTTGTTTTGCGTGAACATCCCTAGTATTAAATGTGGTGAAGGATGTATATTTGTGAATATGTTGAATGAGTTGTTAGGATTTGAACTGTTTGAACCAGTGCAATTGTTGAAAAACACCGAGTTTTCTATTTTTTTTCTTTCAGTTCCTCGGTAATGAACTGGAACAGTTTGGTCCATCAAAATTGTATAGAATGAAATAGTAAATGCATATTATGGAGTAAGTACGTAAAATTGTTTTATTTTTGTTTTTAAATATGTTTTTCTTATTTTATTATTTTTTTATTGAAATAGTTTGAAGCAACCAGGAGTTGTTGCCAAACAATCATGTTTATAAAATATTGAAGAATATCTAAAGTATATTAGATCATTATCTCTTTCATGAGCTTTAAAATTATTAAGTACAATTTATGTTTCACTATTACATTGTAAATATCATACTTAATTCAAAGGAGCACACAACCTATACTATGTAATCAATTAATATTTAAAAATAAATAGATTCTACTTGAATAATCTTTTATTTCATCATAGCAAAAAATTAAGGACAATTCCTTCAGGACAGTCTTCACTTATCTACACAGTAGGTTCATGGACTGACACCTATCAGAAAACACCTACTTCCCTGGCTGATGCCACGAATGGCGTTATATTATATCCGATATGTGTTGGTGCAGAATTCTTCATGAACATACTTCTGGCGATACATCTGCCGGAATCGATTTTCAATTATTGGAAAGGGCACACTTGCAAACTGGCTTTTGGCTATTTGGTAGTGCACTACGGTTTCGGGCTAGTTGGCCTGTCGAATTGTTTCTTTAGAAGATTTGAGGCTGACATTGTTTCCATATAAGTGAAATTTTATCTCTTATTTATTATATTGTGTAGCATTGAATAGGAGAAAATCTCTTTTCATAATTCAATGTTCATATACAAGTAGTTGTTTCGAGAGGGATTTTTCTTCCAGTTAAATTTTTTTGCATAAATATCTGTTTAAAATCTGTTTTTCCCGTTAATCAGTTAATCATACAAACGACAACTCTCAAAAGTTGAGAACTTGTGCGAGCTAAGGACTAACGAGGTCTTACCTTTTAACGTGTGATTTCTAAGACGGTTGCAGAATCATCCCAGCTTCAACCAGATAAATTCTCTCAAGAAAAATATCTAATCGAGGCTGGAATCGAACCCACGGTCTTCCGATCGTGAGTCGGGCGCACTACCACCGCGGTAGTAGAAAGTGTTTTTATACTATAAGATCATGACGGATGGATTGGTATATATTAAACTCCTTTGAGAATATTTAATTAATCATTGAAGAAAAGAGAATTGAAACTTTCTGTTTTTGCCACTTTTATTTGTAACTAACGTTACTGCAGCTTCGTTCGTACTGTATACGTAACAAATACTTTTATATGAACGCTGAATTATACTGAAAACACTTTTCTCTATTCCGTTTGTATTTCAAACATTCGTATGAAATTGAATCAGATATCATTCACTACTATCAAAAAGACATAAATGACGCCCCCTGACTTGACAAGTTTCAAAAGCAGTACATTGTATGGATTATTAAAAAAAATGAATTTTAAATATAAAAAAAAAGAATCAACTTGCTTTTAGACAGGGATAAAAAAATGCTATGGAAAATAGAGTATTTAAAAAAAATAAAATTCAACAGGATCGAAAAATTCAACAGATAAATTATAATCCTATTATATAATTTACATTAATTTCTGTATATTCGTATTTGTTTTCATAGACGAACTTATCACTTTTCATAGTATAAAGTTTAATTATTTCTATACTTTATCTTAATTTTTATTGTATACCATCAGATTACTTATATATGTACGGTTGGGTCTCCTTGTATAATATATTTTTTCCAATTTCAGTTGGTATTGCAAAGTTATGTTTCCACAATTCTCAATCCAAATACATCGAAACTACTTTGCAATAATATTTATTCATCATTGCGGCCCTGGTGAAAAATTACATTACATTTTGGTTATATTTACTGAACTTCGGATTGGAATACCTATAGTTAACATTTTACGAAGGCTTCGCGGCGAACAAATATGTTCGCAGTTGTTCTGCGCTCGGCAGTAGCGAAACAGTCGCTTCTGTGCCCACCCTACCCTATCTTCAACGAAGCAGTTGGTATGGTGACATGCTGTGGAAATATACTTTTTTCACGAGTCCATGAAATCCCAGGACTTTCAGCGACTGCAACTGTTAAAAGAAGTCTGTTGAAATCTGTTTTTTAAACAACTGTTGCCTCCCTACGAACGTTAGCTTGCTCAAGTTTCAACTGAGCAAGCTAACGATTACCGAAGTCTTACTTTTAATATGCGATTCCTAGTACGGAGTTGGATTCTGTTCGAGGCGCTGAGCCTCTGTTACTATTAATAAACAATTCGATTCACGAAGTCTTGTCCAATTGTGGTGTTGGTTGACTGGTTTGTATCAAATGGTCTCCAGTGTACTGGGCTGAGTTCTTGGGGAATGAATTCGTAAACTGGCCTATTCTTCTAGAAGAGCTTCACCAACCTGTCGCAGATCATTTATGATCTATGTGACAACGTTTTGGTACGGTTGGGATCCTCACATAGTTAAAGTGAGGTAGTTCAGACTACCGTTTGGTGAAGTGGTTTCCATTAGTATTATTCTGATAAATCCTTAATGCTTACAAATATAACGGTGAATCCAATGAGCCCATTGATGAAGAGGCGTTTATTCATAAAACATCCCCAAATCTAATGCATCGTATGATGGAGCAATTGTTCTGTTCCATTTCCTCCTCGTTGAAAGATTCATCTTGGAAAATGCATGTCCTAGTAGTTTCTAGGCCGGGTACTCCTCTTAGTAAAACATTTTCTACCGCTTTGCGTTCATTCATTCAATCAATCAATTATTTATTTTTTCCTGTGGAACTCACAAAGTTATAGGACGAGCCAAAAATAAGAATGAAAACTTCAAAAAAAGTTCAATTTCTCCCAAGTAAGAGAACAATTGAACAGTCCACAAATTTTGAAGTGACAATTTTACAAAATTCCCAACTTTTCGCTGTTTATTCGACTTGGAAAAGTTTGGAAATTTCGGGCCGTGAAGATAGAAAAAATAATAGTAGAAAACAATAAACACAATATTATTTAAGTGCTGTTTCCTTTCATTTGTATTGAATATTCCTATACATGGTGGATATGGTGGAAGGCCAAGAACCTTGGTCCAAAGTAGAATAATTCCAATTAATATTTTTATAATTACCCAAATTAATTTTTGTTTGTGCATACCCTAACGGGCATAANGGTATTCAATATCAGGAAATTCAAATACAAATATTAAAATTATATCTATGATAGTCAGTGATGTCAACTTTTGCTTTTTAGACAACAGATCAATTAAATTAAAATATTAATCAACTATCTTTAGAAGGTAATCACAAATTATTTTATTTACGGTTCTCATTTCGTAGTATCATCACTGTTAATTGCTTTTATTTTTGTATGTTTGCGTGCATTATGGAGAGGTGCTTGTTGGTTGAGTAGCTTTGAGCTAGACTTCGCCAAGGAGTACCAGAATCTTCTGTAACCTATTTTCATTTTCAAATATATCTTTGTATTGTTTTTTTGTATTATCAATAAAGCCAATTTATTATTATTATTATTAGTAACTAATTCCTCGGCTTTCATGTTTTCGAAAGTTGGTAAATTTTGCTGGTGGGGTTGGAAATTTGGATTCCCTCCCCCCGGTTTTTCTTTTCGATACGGCCCTGGCTTCTGAGATACAAAAACATCATGTACCGCTAGGTATTTCCCCAGACAATAATTCCATAGTAAAGGTCCATAGAAAAGGTCTGATATGAATTCATTAACTATATGAGTAAATTAAATTTTTCTAAAATACCGTAAATATACTTAACCTTTATAGTTTCCAGAATGGAAAAATAAATTCCACATATGCCACTCATTTATTCACAGAGGGACATGAGTTCAGCCATGAATTAAGCCCCTCCATTTCCAGAAGAAACTTAACCTGTTGGAAAGAATGGAAATAAACAAATTCAAAAACTCTTCATATCTTATAAAGGATCAAATTGAACTGAATAATTCGCCTTCATTGAATCTGTTTATTTCCAGGTGAGAAAAGTTGAGTATATTTAAGGTACTTTCGAAAAATTTAATTTATTCATATAGTTAATAATAATTATAATATGAGTTTATTCATGACATGTTATGACATATACATTGGAAATAATCAACAAACTTCTAAATAAACTAATAATAACCCTGAGAAGTAAAACTTGTGCCAAGGTAAGTCATGAAAACAGATACATCTTTATAAATACAATCTCACATGTATTCATATACAAAGTATGTGAACACACGTGAAAAAAAGAAAATAACAAAAGAATACATATTATGCGAAAATAAGAAATGAAAACATAAATTCGAAATATGTGCTTAATAACAATATATGAATTGAAATTATTCAGAAATTCAGTTGATGAAATGTATATCGTGGTTCATTGAAATTCATTATATCATGGAAAACCATAGGTATTCATTGTTATAAATAATGTGAAGTAAAATATTTGAGTGAGGGTACATTGGCATGATTAGGTATTAATCATTGTCCAAAAAAAAAAGAATTTATTCTACGAACTTATTTCTTGGTATAGCTATTTCTAAAAATGTGTTGATGGTTTCTTTTTTGGTGACGGTTATAAAAACAATTTGTCAGGTTGATTCAGGATTCAATAAATTCAAACATTCATCAACTACTACACACTATTTTTCATCAAAAACAATATGTTAGGTTAATTTAGGACTAAATAAATACACGCATTCACCAATTACTACACACTACTTTTTATTTGCTGCTTTTTACCCTTTCATTCTTCCACAACATAGGCAGATGGATACAAATACTTATAGCATATGTAGACCAGGGTCGATAATTTTTGAAACAAAAAAATAACAGTAGGATGAAATCCATCAGAAAAGAATGCGATAAAAATGAAAGACAGAATAAATTTCGGGCGATCTGAGTTCGTGAAGTGGGAGGGGGTGAGTTTTTAAGGTTAAAAATGGTTTATCTCGATTTCCGGCAAAACTACAAGTGCTATGAAAAAAAGTCAAATAGCAAAGTTCTAGGTAATAAAAAGATGTACAACTTTTGTATTCACGATTTTTTCACATAACCTCAAAATTTATGTAAAAAATTTAAATAACCATTTTTTTTAAGAAATTTGGTGAAAACCTACCTTTTCATGTCCCAAATGGACTGTAATTTGTTTGATTTAAAATATTTATGTTCTCACCTTATTTTAAAAACGTTATTCATGTAGTTCATAAATACCCTATCTTTAATTTTAATCGCTTATCCATCAGTTTTTGTCTCTTTGATGGCATCTCTTGATCGTTAGATTCGACAAACCATTCCAATTCTAGTTGATCTTCAGAATCTTCAAGATTATCACCTTCTTCGTCTCCAATATTATTTTCAGTCTGCATTGGTTCTTCATCTCCACAATTTTATCCGAATCATTAACTTCCTCGTAGGTTTTTTTCTTCCATATTGGAGCAATTTTCAGAACCATGACAATTTGAGAATAAATTTGCGCATTTTAAATCATGTTTTCGACAGCCACATTTTAAACTGTTATATCCAGTTTCACAGCTGCAGGAAATAGTATTGAGGAATACTTCCGGAAATAATTCCTTTTCTGTACATTTGGGCATATTGCACGTTGATGTTGCTTCTAGCCCCAATCTGTTGCTGTCAGTTCGTTACCCAACCAAGTTTGAAACTGATAAAATGCCCTGTAACAAAGTTGTTCTGCTGCTCCTTCTGCGGGTGGGGGGTTTGCCATAATTAAAGATGATTTAATTTTTGCAAATTGATATTTTTGAAATTTCCATTGATTCAGAGTAATTTTTTCATTTTTACATTTATAAATAGATTGGATTGATTGTAATCCATTTTTTTATATCCTGTTTACTTGCATCTTTCTCATAAAAAATATTGGCCAAATTTGACAAATGTTTAGCGTCTAATAATGAATTTACGATACTTTTCTTTTCTTTTCCGGTTTCATCGCAACCGGTAAAACANTTTTTACCATTTTTGAAGGCTTCAGCCCTGGTATAAAAAATATTTTAAAGATGTGAGTTTTAAGACGTAACAGACATCTCAAAGATTATTTTCGTTACAAATAATGATATCTTCAAAATACATTTGAGAGCCATCTTTTCGATATCTTTGTAAGCCATCTTTAAGATACCTTTATAAGACATCTTTTAAATGCATGAACTCATCTTGAAAATATCTGTACTATCATACTACTATTTATGGCTCTGAAAGGAAGCAAATAGGTAAGTTCAAAAAGGACTCTTTATGAAGATGTGTAAATCATGCATAGAAGTTTGATTTCAGATACGAACTGGAAAAAAAACTTCAAGACAACCATTTTCACATAAACATTGAATCAAATAAAAGAGAAAGTACTTTCGAAACAACTACTTTCATATGAACATTGAATTATGTGAAAAACACTTCTGTTCAGTTTGTACTCCAAACTTTCGTTATAGAATTGAAACACAATATCAATCTTAGAAAGGTTACATAGTATAATCTATGAAATAGCTTCCTCGAGTTTACAAAACCCAAAAGTTCGAGGAAGCGAATTGCAGTGAAAATCTCACAATAATGTGTTTCTCAAAATATGATACCTACTACCATATCGCTTAGTAGTAGTGACACCACTGACAAAAAGTTTTCAATTCAAAGAGTCAATATGTGATTGTATTGTTTTATCGTAACGGCAATTTCATACTTACCTACCAGGTATCAAGGATATATTCCAGAGGTATAGCAGATTTGAAGAAAACAGACTGGATGATAAAAAACCAATATTTTACTAAAAATTATAATTTATAAGTTAAAGCTGGAATGGGTCATGTTTCATCAATTTCTCAAAACACAACTAGTGGTGGTTTGATGTAATTTTCGAAAACTTTTTTCACTTCATCGTAATGCTTTGGATTCGACCGAATCTCTAAAGTTCCATTGATGTTCAAATACTGAATTTTTCCAGGCTCAACAAGAGGCCAAATGATATTGTCTAACAGGTCATCATGTTTGGGTGTGGGATTTCTGAAATAGAGAAGTATTGATTAGAATATTCTAAATGATTTATAATTTTTGTAAAATCATCCTATGATTGAAAATACAGGATGGCATTGTATTGGTATCTTTCAAACTGCAGAAGTTTCAGTCAAATTTAGTGAAAGTTACATAATAAATATTTGTTACGGGAAACAAAAAATTCGGATTGTTTTTTCTTCAATTCATTAGAAAATATTGCCAAGCTTTTTAGCTCAGATATCAGCATTCTATCTTTGGTTTGGCACCAAACGATTTCAAATTATCTTATCTGGGCATCTGGACTACATTCAATTTTTTTTTCGAAACGAATCTCACATTTTGTGTTGATTCTTCATTCTGAATCCAATGGAACATATCGACAAAGAACACTTCTGGCTAATTCGAATTCGATTATAATAGAAAGACTTGCATTGGTCGTCTAATTATTTTGTTGAATAATTTTTAAAAGCTGAAGAAATAATTGTTGAAGGTATGAAAATATTTTGTTTAATTGATGGAATAAAGTCAGATACAACATAAACTATGACTACCATCTTGAAGAGAAAACAACTCACAACTGGCAAAATTAAGCTAGATCACACAACTAGCTTCTTTAGGTATATATGGACTNTTATATTAATGAAAAACCAGAATTGTTATTGGTTTGGAATTCATGTAAATTTTTGTCAATGTCTAATAAAAAGGCATAGATTTCATTGAGGTGATCAATGTCTGATCTTTTATTGAGGCAATTATTTGATTATAATATAAATGACATTTCCAAAAACAATCTTTAGATATATTTCTTTCAGTTGATAAAATTTTTGTTGAATCATAGTCCATGTTATGGCCTTCTTTGGACACATGATTGCTGAGAGCACATCTCTCAGGATGTGATCTACTATCACTTTTATGTGAGCTGATTCTGTCTTTGAGTAATCTTGACGTTTGACCAATATATTCCTTGCCACAATTTAGGCATGGAATAGAATAAATTAATTGAGATCGGAAGTTAATTGGAGTTTCATCTTTAAGTTTAGAAAATGATTTATTGATGGTGAATATGGTTCTAAAAGCTATTTTTACATTTAAATCTTTGAAAATTTTGCATAACTTGGGTGTCATATCACTTATGTATGGTAAAGAAGAGAAAAGTATAGGAACTGGAGGTGGATCAGTCTCATTTATGACATTGTCAGACTCTAAAGGATTTATATCCAACTGGTTGTTTTCGTCAATGGTTGACGTACTAAATAAGATCTTCTTAAGAAGAGGATCTGGGTAGGAGTTGTTAATGAATAATTGGGAGAGTATATTTAAATTTTTGATATGAAAAGAAGGATCGGAAATCTGCAGAATGCGGTTCTTCATTTGTTTGACCAAATTGATTTTCGTTGACTGCTTATGATATGACCAATAGTTGAACCTGCCAGAACTGATAGCCTTGCGATACCAATCTATGAGTAGAGTATTATCTGGTGTTCTGATAACCTTCGTGTCAAGGAATGGAACCCATTGTTCGTTGTTCTCAGTTTCGATGGTAAACTGTATGTAAGCAGGGTCATGACTGTTGAAGATATCCACAATCTCAGATATTCTATCTTGAGGAAGGGATATAATGACGTCATCGACATATTTTTTATAAAGAAAATATTGAAGGGAAGTACCTGTAAGACCAAATCTAGCAGGTCATCCATGACATATGCTGCTAAAATGGGGCTAATCTTAGCTCCCATAGGAAAACCAAAAGTTTGTTTATAAATTTTACCTTTTAATGAAAAAATTGTATTATTGAAAAGGAAAGTTATAAGTTGGATGAAATCGTCTTTTTGAATGTCTCAAAATTGACTAATACCTCCCCACTTTCTATCTATAGATCTGCGACAAGTGTGCAAATAGACATTACTGAAAAGAATACGACATCTAAGCTAGCAATTACATAATTGTTAGGTACTTTCATATTGCAGACATAGGAAAATTATATGAACAATTTTAAATTCTCTTGGCACAGATTTGAGAACATTTTATGATTTATGTTAACACTGTATCAAATGGCAGTTGTTTACTTCCTTCAGAATCATACTTCAGCAGTAGGTGCATACCTTTTGATATACTGTACATTTTGAAACCGATGTCTGCTTCCATTCAATGAGTGTTCTAAGTAGTACTTACATTGGTCTAACGATTTTAGATTTTAGGATAATTCGATATTTAATTTATTGCATACTTCATACCTATATGTATATTCTTTAAAATACCTTTTTTGTGGAGGACTCATATACTGTTTTTTGGGTTTATAACCTTCCACAATCTGAAAAAATGAAACATAAATCAATAGAGAATCTGCAGATTCTCAAATTGTGGAAGGTTGTAAACCCAAGAAAACAGTATAAAATAATTTATGTAACTGCATGATCCACATTACGTCACCTTTGACTTACCTTAGCAATGACCTTTCATTTTCTACCTTTGTTATTATTTTTTTCGGTCATGTTTGTGTGTTAGAATCATCAAAACGTTGACTTTTGTTTTTTTAAGTCGCTCCAGGGAAATAGTTTTCAAGTGGGACACTAGGTAGATGTACAAGAGAATGATTTACACTCCCCCCAGAATATTTTTGTTTTCACACTGTCATACATTCAATTTGTGAAAATATTCAAATTCCATTTTCAAATATACCCATAATTAAAAATGTATGATGCCACCCAAAAAAATGCTCACCTGTTATTGGTAATAAGTTTGTGAGACCACCCATTTTTCCTTTATATGAAAACTGATACACAAACACAGGTGAAAATTTGGATGCTAACTCAGCGTGACGTATGTTGGGCGTTGTGAATGTCTCTTCACTGAGGTACTGCAATGAAAAAAAAAATTTAAGTAAGGCCCGTCAGAACGAGTTCTACATAATTCCAAATACAACTAAAAGTAGCATTGATCTAAATATGGTAGGATATAGTTAGGAAAATTTGACAATATATTAATTGATTATTTTCAATAAAGTTAGTGGAGATCAAATCGTTTAAGTGTAGTTTGTGGAATATATTAAGTTGTTTCAAAACATTTGTCTGTTTAAGTGAGTCTGTTTTAAACTGTGCTCAGGATTTGATGAAGCTGACGATGGTCGTTTTTGCCTAGTCCTTATTGGAGAAGGTATGATGGGGGGTATGTTTCGTTTGAATCGATAGAGCGAAAGATTCGAAAAATTAAAAAAATTGGAAAAGAGTCGAAGTGACAGTAGAGAGTCCAGTTTTTGAGAAATGGTATGAAATTTGAAATTGAGCAACTTAATTCTTTGGCATTTTTCGAAATTTGCAAGAAACCAATTTTTTTTTAATTTTCGAAAAAAAAGGCAAATTTGTCAGGTTTAGAGTAGCACATGACACTCATTTTTCAAGCACAAACTACCTGCGAAGTAAAATTTTTATTATATCTATTAATGAAATGAACTTCCATGTATCGCGAACTTCATGTGTGACACTGTATATTAAATAATTAATATTGATTAACATAATAATATTGAATGAGTAGAGGGCTCACCGAAAATTTGAGTTGTGTTAAGAAATAATTTCCGAACTTTGTATATATTCACTTGAGTTGCAGTGAAAACTTGGTTTTCATACCTTCAATTTTGAGGTTTATTATTTCTGTATGAGGTATAAGTTTAACCTTCTCGTAACAAAATATCATTGGTGATTTTGCTTCAGTTCTTCTCGAAACATAAAACCTGTGACGCCTTTGAAATGAGTTGAGTAAATTTAAGTGAATATTATATCTACCTTCAGATATGCACCTGGGTCAGTCTGGAATGATGTGGTTGTATAAATAGATTTATATTCAGTAGATGCGATCTCCAAATATTCCGGCGCTACATTTAGCCTTGGATGAATAATCAAACTTATATTTTTGTCATATATACTTCCCAAACTTCCTAATTGTTCAGGAGCACCTGAAAATGATATGATTTTTAAAATTTCGTCTATGTTAGATTAGGATTCAGAAAAAAAACATTAATATTTGTCAATCAATAACACATTCAATGGAACGTTAGCGGTTCGGAGTAACCACCTAAATAAAGATTCAAAATGTAAAAGAAAATTGAACATAACACAAGCGAAATATTCGAATGGGTATTCTACTAATAAATTCAATGTTTCTGAATGTATTCTGGGTTTTCAACTATCTACAATCCGAAAAATAAATATATATCAACAACATTCATAAAAACTTTAGACTCATTTGACATTTTCATATCTTTTATGACGTATAACTTGGAAATACGGCAATTGATCTCCAAAACAATATTGTTCACAGATGAAATATCTACAAAGTTATTTATCAATTTCCGTATCTCAAATTGTTTAAACAAAATACCCGTTTCCGACTTCCGTTGAATTTTTTTGAAGTTCAGTCGTTCTTTTTGTCAATTATTCATGATTTGTGATTTTTTCTAAACTTTTCAATACTATGAGAGAATATTACTATCGTTTATTCCAAAACTGATCAAATTTTCGTCTGGATTTTATTGAATTATTGCTTGTCACCGAAAATAATGTTGACAACTTGTTTGTAAATATTAGCAAGACAACGCAATTTAAACATCCTTGTTATGATTTTCCTGAAGCTTACTGAAACTCTTGCATTGAAATATGTGAATGAGAATTTTAGAAATGCAATGTTTATCTGTGAAATGAAGTTTATCTGTGAATGTCCTGAAAATTAGTAATTCAACTGTACCCCCTATTTCCCGAAGTGCCAATTTCAGAAAATGTTATATTTTTACAGTGATATTTACTGAATCCTCCAAGTTTGGACTCATCTCATTATGTGAAAATAATGCATTTCAAACTGATACAGATCACAAATCATTATCTATGCGAGGCAATGAATCTATGGTAATTTTCAGGCAGAAATGGTCATAACATTTCACTCATACAGTGTACAATATTTATATTCTACATATAATGAATGAGACTTTAGATTGCTTCGAAAATTATATATTATTATTATTATACTTCAAAATTCAGAATCTTTAATAATACTCACCCCTTAGAAAAAATCTAGATTCCTCGGAAGAGAATCCAGTCATCAAGGGGACGCGATTGAAGTCTCCTAGTAAGAGAGACTCATGCATGGGAACTGTTACAATCGCTTTGCTGCAATTTTTATTCTCAATAATTGGTACCCAGATTCCAATACTTCCTATAATGTTTGCTGAGTATCTGTCATTTGGAACCTACAATGAATTGAAAGAATTATACAAGAGTTGGGAACACACTTTTCAACAATTTTTCGACTTTCAAATGGAGCAGATACACTTGTTGTTTAGACTGAATGCGACCTACAATGTCTTGACGGAATTTGACGTATGTTATCAATTTGATGTTTCTTAGTTGAATTTATTCACAGGATGAAGTCAAGACCAGTTTCTTTTTTTCAACCAATTCATGTTATTATGAAATCTGTGAATGGTTTTACGGGATATTAATCTACTGATCGTGTTTTTTAAAAGGTCTTAGGTCAAAGGGATACCTGAACGCAAGGACAAGTGATAGGATTATAGGATTGCAGGCAACACATGTATGCATTCAAATAGGGAAGTGTAATTTTTTTGAAAAACAACACGAAGGCGAATGAGAGAATGAAGTGGAACTGATAATGAAGCAGATGCAGTAAAGAATATATCTCAGTTTTGTATCATTGAATAGTAGTTAAAAATGGGCATTTTTGCCACAATTTATCCAGCTTTATCTATTATCGATTAAGATATCCATGTGTAGAGATTCGAATTTGAATTAGGTACTCTATAAATAACATAGGATATTTTTTATATGTTTCGTTGAAAATATTTTAAACAAAACCCGCGAAAAACCCTTTTCCAATTACCCTATTCAGACCAATTTTAATACACAGCATATATTAATAATTGATATTAATTCAATTCGATTCGATTCAATTCATTTCGATTCGATTTCGATTCGATATGATTCAATGAAATTCAACTGAATTCAGTTCAATTCATTTCTTTATTTCTCTATACATTGTATAGGAACAGCCAGAAAGTGCTTATATGTCTAGTCAAATAATGAAGTTATAAAAACAGTCTGCGTACAAAACAAAGAAATCATTCAAAAATGCAAATATTATTTTTTAACACTATACATATAAATGAAATAAAAAATAAAATAAACGTTTATTGATCCGTTAAGCTGGTATATGAACAAGATGAGACATGTCGTTACAAGTGATGAGAGTGGTACAGAAGTACCAGTCCTAGTAAAATACTAAATTTAATAAAAACGTTCAAACTATTCATGCATCTCATTTTGTTTGTCAACATATTGCAAATTTTAGGAGCCATAAGTTGAAGAGATTCAAGAGACATATTCAATCTATTGAAAAGTTGCCTTTTTTTTACAATTGTATCAATTATATGAGAGTTCTAATATCAAACAAAACAACAATGTTTCTATTGGGCTAAATTACACTTATATGTTTACTATGATAATCTTTTATGATAAAAAGAGGCAGCTTCAGCAAACTCTATTTATATTCATAGTAATTAATATAAATAATTTGTTTATTCTGTACTTCAAATTAATATTCAATAAATTCGTGAATAAATAATTTCGAACATATTTCATCAACTGAAAAAATAAAATAAAAAACATGACAGTGTCAATATCATATATTTTTGAAAAAATGTACTGCAGAAATCGGGAAATACAGAAAAACATTTTGTCTAAAAGAAGTGAATTGAATGAGGTATATTTTCAGAAGGAACAAGTTTTTGGAGAAAAAGCTTTTTGGCTTTCACTTCTCCATCTTAATTTTCTGAAATTGATTGCTTCCTTCCTTTCACATTTTTTTGTATAAAAATGGAGAAGTAAAAACCATTAAGCTTTTATCCCGACAACTATAGGTCTTATTAGTCAAATGAAATAGTTGGAGTTGTTTACGAAGATTAGTAAGCCACCCATTATGTTTTTTTATCATAGTGGAATATAACTTATCGATGAGTAACAATTCATGAACGATCGTATGGGTTCATTTCAATTCGTTTCGTACATTTTTTTATAAATAGTAATTACTAGATTGAAATTACCAAATCACTAAATTCGTTTATTTTGTTTTCTTTCACCTATAGAATAAACATTTTACTTACGTCAGCTGTTAAAATATCAGAAGCTGGAGTCCTCAATAGTATATCTAGAAGATCCTTTGAATCGTTTGAATTGAAGTTTGGGTCCAGAACTCTCCCCATTTTGAAAGCAAAATGACGAGGATCATCCTGTGAAGCTAAAGGTGACAAAGGCGAACCGCTTTCCAAAATAAATCCACGGACAAGACCTTTGAATTAATAAACTATTAGGTTCATAAAAATATTTTCGTTTGTGATCTTGCGATGTGATATAAGGATATATCGAGGACAGTTAGCTCAAAAGACAATGTAGCTCAAAAGATAATTCTATATTGAAATTTTTGAAAGCACGTCGCTCAGCTACCTGAACATACGAGTAGGTATTTTCCAAGACAATTTTTGAAAAGTTATGAGTGGAAGATAATCGATAATTTATTCTCAATTAATAATATATTCCACTTCTTTCAATTTCTGAAATAAGAACATTACTTTTCATTTAAACACCAACATTCATCAATTGAATAGAAACGGCCGATACTTGATGAAAATCAATATTGAAACTCATTAATACAGTTCATTGTATAATTTTCACAAAAACCGCGACACGTGTTTCGCTACACATAATAGCTTCCTCAAGCTTTACTAATAAGTTACTTTTAAATTACAACTACATATTTCATACTCTAACATATTACCTAATTGTTTGCCTACTTTCTGATGAATGGGCTTGAATTCATGATTGAACTTATGTCCCTCTGTGAGGTGAGATCTGTGAGGTGAGATCAAATGAGTGGCATATGTGGAGTTTATTTTTTCATTCTGGAAACTATTGCTGTGTTCCTTTATGCGGGCTTTAAACATAATTTTAGTTTGACCTATATAAAACATCGGACATGAGCCACATGATAATCTATACCGTTCCGATTTTTCGGAAACTGAACTTTCATCTTTGATATTCTTAATGCGCCTGCCTGAGTTGTTAATTTTGAAAGCAATGTTTACACCTTTGTTGTGCAGAAAATTTGAAATATTCCTAGTGGGTTGGCCTGAGTAGGTTAAGATTCTATAACTTTTATTCTCATCTTTTCGAATTGAGTAAACTATCTTCAAAGCTTGGCTGTATAACTTTTTTGATAATAGATAATGTATTAGACTGCTATAGTAATTATTGTTGACGGCTATTTGTTTTATTTTGTTTAGTTTTTTTCTTGAAATCCGCCTCTGAGAAGGAAGCATTTATCAGTCTGTGGATCATATTGTTGAATGCTGCTATTTTGTGCTGATATGAATGGGTGGACGACATATGAATGGTGAAATCTGTATGTGCTGATTAACGATAATATATCTATACGATTACACAAAATTTCTTACCAGTGGGTTACTGTGTATTTTTCGCTCCAAATAGTCCATGAAAATTTCTGCCAGAATGAGACTAAATGGGTTTCCCAATATGATACCTTTGCAAAGATCATTATGAGACCTGGATAGGGTCACGTGGATCATGTCCGATGTTTTATATAGGTCAAACTGGAAGAACGTACAAAGCCCGCATGAAGGAACACAGAAATAGTTTCCAGAATGGAAAAATAAACTCCTTATATGCCACTCATTCAATCACAGCGGGACATGAGTTCAATCACGAATTCAAGCCCCTTAATTTACAAAAAAAA